AACGTTAAAATGGCAGCTGAACCACATGGACCTTTTACAAACCGCTGAATTTAATAATTTCTTGGGATCAACCTATTTGGAGGACAGAGTGCAATCTGCACAGGATAGGCTGTAAAAAACTGCCAAGATCATGACCAGTGTGCAGTATCAAATTAGAGAGTTGCAAAGAGAAAACCACAAATTTGTGAGAAATGGCAGGAAATTAGCATTATTATGCAGTTGTGCTAGGGCATTGGAGAAAATTCCTCCTTTTTTCCAGTTTAGTGGTACAAGACTAAAAAAAAGCTCTCCAGAGCTTCTGCCAGAGGATTCCTCCCCCACAGAAATTGCAGCCCTGTGCAATGTGTGGTGGAGTTGCAGCTGACTTTGCACAGGCACACCCACACACATACGTTGCTAATGATCACAGCTTGCAGTACCAGTGTCAGTGGGTTCTACCGTGCATTCTGTAAACTCAATATGTTTCCCAATATTATAGGACTGTCTCTTTCCCACTTTTCACAATGGTTGATAACACAGCAGAGAATCCGCTCGTGCTCGGCAATATGCAAAATGGGGCTTCACAGCTGCTTGTCAATTTTAAAAAAAAAGTCTGGTCAGTTTCAACATCAAGTTTCCCCCCTTTGCCCTGTTCTTTTCTGTTCCCTTTCATTCAATGAACTAATCCTACAGTGCATGTGTAAAACCTGAACCACGGGGATTTAAAGGAATGCACTTCCTGGATGCTACTGCACATTTCCAATAGAGCAATTGCATTAAAAAAACAAACTTGGATGCCACACACACCCCCTCACATGTCACAAGTGACATTCCACCCCAATTTAGAAAAACATGTTTAAAAAAAATTGTAGCTGCAGAATAAATACAGCGGAGGGAAAGAATTGAGCGTAGTACAGGCACAGAATCCGAAGTATAAGTATATATATAAATAAGTCAAGACTAAAGGCTTACTGCTCTGAAAATCTGCAGTAAAATATGCATTTGTAATGGGCTGGTCTCTGTTCTCCATTCTTGTTTATCTTTCTGTCTCAGAAAAATATGAGCAGTTTCTGCTAGAAAGCGACTCACCTTTGCACATGGATGGATGGATGGCTTCTCCTCCAGTTCAGCTCCAGTTCACGTTGGCAAGGGAAACCCCATGGCCTTTCACTGCCCCTGCTGCTAGACTGCAAAGTCAGAGTGGAGATATCACTTAGCCTGAAGACTACAGCGTGGCAGTGATTGGTCATCCCCAAACGTGGACTCTACAGTCAGTCTGGAAGGTCTCTCTCCATCTTCAGCATGAAGAGCATGTCCCTGTAACCAGTTTGTATAAGACTGAGGTGGATTGGAAGTGAGAATACATTACTTGGCCTGGGGTCCTTGGGGATGAACCTCAGTTGGAAACCCCCAGGAAATGGTGTGTAATTGCTTGAACTTTCGAGAATTGGTGGCTCACCTGGGGCTTTTATGCAGACTCAGTGAAGCCATACACAATGGATATTGCCTCATAGTGCCAGGGGATACACAACTTGTGCCCACAGAGGTCTCCAGTACATGTGAAGCATAGTATAGCCTCTGCTTGGCATGCTTGGCATGCTTGGCATGCAGACGGTCCCAGGCTCAATCCCTGGCATCTCCCGTTAGAAGAACAGCAAGTGACACGGACAGCTGCATGAGACCCTGGAGAGTGGATTCCAGCATCAGGGTCTTCTTCTCCAGGGAGTGCTCCCTTCTCATTGGGTGGCCAAAGTATTTGAGCTTCAGTTTCATTATCTGGCCTTCCAGGGAACAGTCAGAGTTGATTTCTTTTAGGATTGACTGATTTGATCTTCTTGCAGTCCAAGGGACTCTCAAGAGTCTTCTCCAGCACCACAGTTCAAAAGAATCTATTCTTCGGCGCTTGGCCTTCCTTATAGTCCAACTCTCGCAGCCATACATGACTCCTGGGAATACCATTGCTTTGACCACGCAGACTTTTGTTGGCAGGGTGATGTCTCTACTTTTGATCACGCTGTTTAGGTGCGCCATCGCTTTCCTCCCAAGGAGCAGGCATCTTTTAATTTCATGGCTGCTGTCACCGTCTGCGGTGATCTGGGATCTTCGCATGATGTACTCTGCATATATATTAAATAAGCAAGGTGACAATATACATCCTTTTCCTATGCTGATTCAAAACGAGGCCACTTCATGTTCTTATGTGTTCAGCATCACCCACCACTTGTTTGGGGGCAGCAAACCCCCACATTCCTCTCATGGAGTTTCTCTGTGGGTAGGAGGACAAGGGGTGAATTGCTGTCAAGCCCTTCTCATGGGGTTTTGAGCTCTGGGTTGGGAAATACCCAGTGGTTTTGGTGGTGGATCCCGAGGAGGTGATGGTTTGGGGAGGGGAGGGACTTCAATGGGGCAGAGTGCTGGGCCGGCACAACCCATTCAGAACCAGGCCAGGACAGTCCTGGATCTAGAGTAGGGTTTAGGGGTGTGCAGGAACGACAAATATATATCTTTGCGGGGGTCTCTTGTGGATCCAGAACTAGTGTGGTAGCGGAAAAGGGCAGTGAGTAAGTCTGGCATCCCTGGAGTGTGAGAGCTCAAAATTGCACAGTTGCAATAGGTCCCCCCCCCACCCCTGGGCTAGATTGTAGGAGCAAAGTGAGAGGCTGCCAGGCTCCTTAGCAGGATCACACCACATACAAAGGCTTCTTGAAAAGATAAGTGTTTTATTGGTCGTCCATTACTAAAGGACAAGTATACAGCTTGTGTCAGGAATGACCTGCAATATGATGGCCACTGACATATAGTAAAATCAAACAACCCCCCCCCCCCATAAGCCAAAGCCAATGAATATATTTCCTTGTGTGCGGGCTGAAGCTGAGCAAGCAAGCAGATGAGCACATAAGCAGTTAAGGTTCCCAGGCCGGTTAATTTGCAAGAGATAGAATTCAGAAGCTAGACAGGGTTGAGCTGGGAAAGAAGAGGAGGAGGTGCAACCCTCCACATTCCAACTCTGTGACAGGGCTACCCGACAGAGGTGCAGCAACTAGGCAGAGCCTCCAAAGAGCAACGCAGATAGTGCATGTTAGACCCAAGATTCCATTTAGCAGAAGATTCTCTCAGAGTTATTGGTGGCAGCGGGGCATGGAGCAGGGGGGTCATTGGGGGTGTTTGTGAATTTCCTGTGTCGTGCAGGGGGTTGGACTAGATGATCCCAGAGGTGCCTTCCAACTCTATGATTCTAGAACATAAGAACATAAGAGAAGCCAATGTTGGATCAGGCCAATGGCCCATCCAGTCCAACACTCTGTCACAGAGTAGCCAAAAATACCAGGGGCCATCAGGAGGTCCAGCAGTGGGGCAAGGACACTAGAAGCCCTCCCACTGTTGCCCCCCCCCAAGCACCAGGAATACAGAACATCCCTTGCCCCAGACATGAGAGCATAAGAGACGCCAATGTGGGATCAGGCCGATGGCCCATCCAGTCCAACACTCTGTCCCATGGTGGCCAAAAATACCAGGTGCCATCAGGAGGTCCAGCAGTGGGGCAAGGACACTAGAAGCCCTCCCACTGTTGCCCCCCCCCAAGCACCAGGAATACAGTGCATCACTTGCCCCAGATATAAGAACATAAGAGAAGCCAATGCTGGAGCAGGCCAATGGCCCATCCAGTCCAACACTCTGTCACACAGTGGCCAAAAATACCAGGTGCCCTCAGGAGGTCCACCAGTGGGGCAAGGACACTAGAAGCCCCTCCCACTGTAGCCTCCCCCCCCCATGCACCAAGATTCTATGAGTTTGTTTTTGGCACCCACGAAGAGCCAGGGAAGGGACACTGTCACCACACAGAGATGTGGGACAGCCATAGGTTTGCGAGTCTCCTGGGGATGAACCCAAAGGAGCCAGAGGGGCTTACAAGTCTGTTCCTTTTGCAGACATATTTTATATAAAAAGGTGTAATGTCCTGTTCTATAGACTTGGGTTGGTGTCCTGAAATGACACCTCACCCCACAAGATGTAGAGTTCTGGAAGAGGAATGTCTAATTAGCACTCTGCTCATGTTCAGTGGTTGGCTGTTACCAGGATCCTCTCGTGTGCATGCCTACGCATCCCCATATGTGCACACTCTGATCCAGGTGGCTGCTGATGTTGGGATACCCCCACCCCAATAGAGCTGGAAAGAGAGAAAGAGAGAGAGAGAGAGAGACCTCTAGCAAGTACAAGTAAACTTTATTGACTAACGAGTGGACAGAAAAGGCAAGAAAGTAGAAGTATTTAACAGCCACTGCAGTTCAATTTCAGCCACTAAATACGAATCAGATCCTAGTGAGATGCTTAGAACTGGGCATTCAGCAAAGGACATGAAGTCTGGGCCCTCCTTCAACCAGCCAGTTTGGTGTAGTGGTTCAGTGCGCGGACTCTACTCTGGGAGAACCGGGTTTGATTCCCCCACTCCTCCACTTGCACCTGCTGAATGACCTTGGGCAAGCCGTAGTTCTGATAAGAGCTGTTCTCGCAAAAGAGCAGTTTCTGCCAAGAGTTCTCTCAGCCCCACCTACCTCACAGGGTGTCTGTTGTGAGGAGGGGAAGGCGAAGGAGTTTGTAAGCCGCTTTGAGACACCTTTGGGTAGTGAAGGGCGGGGTATAACACAGGGTCTCTGTTGTGGGAATGGGAAGGGAAAAGAGTTAGTAAGCCGCTCTGAGACTCCTTTGGGTAGTGAAGGGTGGGGTATAAATCCAATCTCCTCCTCCTCCTCCTCCTCCTCCTCTTCTTCCTCTTCCTCTTATCTTCTTCTTGGCATATAAGAGCTTTTCTTATTTCCCCCCCATTCTTTTTATTCTGACTCCTTTGTAATTTTCTTAATTCCTGGCTTTCATTTCCGTTCAGCTACTGACTTGGTGTGTTCCCGACTGCTTCAATATGTCCTGCTATAGCAAAATGAGAGAACAGTGAACACCGGAGATTTCAAAATTCTGGAGCCAGTAGCTCTCCAGGGGAGCGACACTGACAAATACCACAGAATGCCCTAATTTCTAGTGTGGTGACCATTGTTCCCGCTAAGCTGTGGAACCTTGTGAGCAAAAGTTCTATTCACCTCCTTGTTGCGGAGGCTGTAGATGAGGGGGTTCAACATCGGGGGGCTTATGCAGAACATGATGGAGACCAGGGTGTCAATCTCCAAGGAGTACCCGGTGCTTGGTCTATTGTAGTTCAGTAGCCCATTTCCGTAGTAAACGGTGACAACAGTTAGGTGAGAAGCACAAGTGGAAAAAGCTTTGCGCTTGCCGGTTGTGGAACGGATCTTCAAGATGGAGGACAGGATGAAGGCGTAGGAGAGGATCGTGAACAGGAAGGGGGCCACGCCCACAAAAAGGCTGGCAATACCTAACACCATTTCTATGGCCTGTGTATCGCTGCAAGAAATCTTCATCAGTGCGGGGAGATCACAGAAGACGTGATGAATCTGGTTGACTCCACAAAATAGCAACTTGGAGCTGAGAGCTGTATGGAGAGCAGAGTCTAAGAAGCCCCAGACCCAGGTGGAAAAGGCTAAAATGGCACACACCTTGGTGCTCATGAGCAGGGAGTAATGCAAAGGCTTGCAGATGGCAACATAGCGGTCATAGGCCATGATACCCAGCAATGCAGCCTCTGTCCCTGTGAAAGACATCAAGAAGAACATCTGGGCCATGCACTGGTTGTACGTGATGGTCTGTCGCTGGCACAAGAAGTTCACCAAGATCTTGGGGACCGTGACGGAGGAGAGGCAAATATCTAAGCAGGAGAGGTGGCTGAGGAAGTAATACATGGGGCTCTGGAGGCTGGAATCCAGTTGAATTAGAATAAATATCGTGAGGTTCCCCAGCACGGTGACCAAGTAAATGACTAGGAATGGCAGGAAGAGGTAGATGTGGCTGTTCGGAATGCTGGAGAAACCCAGGAAGACAAATTCCACCACTCGCGTCTGATTCCTCACTCCCATTGAGAGCTCTGGACTCACCTGCAAGGAGAGAAAGATGGGTGGAGAAAACACATCTTAGGTACTGTGATGAGCGACACCTCTGAGCATCGGTTTGGCAATCCTCAAGTCGATTAAAGCTGCATGTTGTTATGAGGAACAATTGTTGCTCAGGAAAAGGAACTGTGGAAGTTTTGTCCCCCTGCAATTTCTGCCCCCAAGACTTCCCTGTTCTTAACTCACTTCTTCCTCTCACTCTCTCCACCAGATATCCCCATTCTTTTGCTGGTGCAGCTGAACACCTTTGGAGGAGGACAAAACTGCAGGCTGATTTTATCCATCAAAAGATCATCCTGTCCTCTGTCTCATCTATCATGTATCTAGTGATGCAACACTTCTAAACTACCCCAAATCACACCACCTGGAGGAATTGTCCTCTATCTTTCACAATATAGTCAGGCATGCCCCAAGGCACCCTCCCTGGCTCTCCCACAAGGTCTCCCCGCAGTCTGCTTCCCCCTTCGACTCCTTCCTTAGATACATTTATTCATTCTGCTGCTTCAAGCCCTAGGTTTCCATGACCCCGCCCTTAGCTACTTCTTTTCCTACTTGCAAATTCCTCTTCTTTCCCCTGGTCCATCGGGGTGGGGTGGGGAGAAGTGTGTCCTTTCCCTTTTCTTATGGTATCTCACTACCTTATAATCTAAATGCACTTGTCCGTGGGTGACTTCGTCCACTCCCACGGTGTTCCTTCATCACCACCTTCACACGGATGACACCCGGCTCTGCCTCTGAGCTTTCTCCCTCCTTCCAGCCCTGCATCTCCCGTTGTCAGTCTGAGATTTCCACTTGGATGTCTGCGCTGCCATTGCAAAATCTCCGGCTCTCAGTATATTTCCCGCACTCAACCTTCTCTTTCCTCCCGAGCCCTCTTCTCTACCACATATACAATGCCAGGGTCACCATCCTCCCCACATCCAAGACTCTTGTTGCTCTTTTCCTCCTCATTTAGTGTCTCCAAATAATGCTCCTTTTTTCACCTGCTGTTACTTATGCCTGGAAATTTCTCCCACAATACTGGTATGCCTCCACCTCTCTCACTTTTTGTAAATCCATTGAGAATACACACTTTTTGAAGATGGACAAAACTTATAAAAGGACGTTGAAAATGAAAAGGAATGGATGGTACTTTCTACCATATGTGATGAACATGTACAAAGATGAAGAAATATTGGAAAGAAATACATGCATTTTACCTGAGAATATTGAAACAAAATTCGTGAGAGCTATTCAGCTATATGATAACGGCGGCCAGAGTTATTCTAGCAACAAAATGGAAAGCAGAAGAATGCCCAAATGGAGAGAACTGGAAGGATAAATTAGCTGAATCTGCAGCAATGGAAAAACTAACAAGCAATGTAAATAGAAGACTGATTAAAGAATTTCAGAAGAAATGGAAATCCTATTATTCACATTTCATGTCATAATCAGGGAGAAAAGATATAATTCACTGAAGATGTTATGTATAAATTAAATGGGGATATAGTCAATAATATATGTAGCATGATTTTATACTTTAATCACCATCAGATTAATATTGTTTGAGGTTTGGTAAACTGGTAATTTTAATTTATCACAGCCCTTCTTATCTATAAAGTATATAACAAATGAAAATCGAAAGAGATTTAAAATATATATTGTTTATTCTTTTTCCTAATTATTTTTCTGCCCTCTTGAGGTAACTGTAATTGCAAATGCCTTGTTATAAATGAAAATGAATGAGATGGGAGAAAAATATGTATTTGTTTTTGATACAATATGTGTATTATGGTTGTCCTAGATAAATGTAAATATTCTGTATAATCTTTTAATTTTTCTAAATAAATACTTTTCATCCTTTTGGTTTTTGTACCCTCAATATTCTTTTAAAATAAAAATTTTAAAAAGATAATACACACTTTTCCTGTGAAGCATTAGGTCAAATATTTTAACTTCTCTCTGCTTTGGAAACTAAATGTAAGAATTTGAAACTGGAAGCCATACACGTTTTCCCCTTGCCCTAGTCGTTCCCTCTCACTTTTCACTTTTTGCTTTCGTTTCACCTTTAGATGGGAGACTCTTTGGTGAAGTGACTTTCTATCTTCTACTCTGTAATGGGCCATACTATTATTATTGACAATGGTTATGATGATAAAGGTAAGGGATGAAGGTCTACTTGAAGATGATCATCCAAGGATCAGTGGGATTTGCAGAAAATCCCAATAGAAGAAGACGACGACTACGTTTTCATATCCCACTTTTCTGTACCCTAATGAGCCTGCAAGGACTGCAAGGAGATCACATCAGTCAATCCTAAAGGAAATCAACCCTGACTGTTCCCTGGAAGGTGAGATACTGAAGCTGAAGCTTAAGTACATTGGCCACCAAATGAGAAGGGATCACTTCCTTGAGAAGAAGACCCTGGGCCTGGGAAAGACTGAAGGTACAAGAAGAAGGGGATGACAACGGATGAGATGGTTAGACAGTGTTATCAATGCAACGAACATGAAATTAAGCAAACTCCGGAGCACGACGGAAGTCAGGAGGGCCTGGCGTGATGTGGTCCATGGTGTCACGAAGAATTGGACTCGACTGTGCGACTGAACAACAACAACAACAATGAGCCTCAAAGCAGCTTACAATTCGCCATCCCTTCTGCTCCCCACAACAGGCACCATGTGAGGCAGGTGGGGCTGAGAGTGTTTTGAGAGAACTGGACTGGCCCATGTGGAGGAGGAGTGGGGAATCCAGATTACAGTCTGCCATTCCTAACCACCACACCCCGCTGGCTGTCGTGACAAAAGCCAAGGAAGTGCTCAGTAGCTGAGAATCAACCTGCAGTAGACCTCCCTGAATCCTGTCAAAGCCTTATTGAGATATATGTCAGAGTGATAGAGGTAGCAAGCAGTTACTATAGATCAGTTTGATCTGTTTGTCAGACCTAGCTGTCATGCTAGTAATCATGTAATTACAGCCAGGTGTTTCTAGCAGGTGTTGCACTTTCAGGTCTTGTTAGAGTTAGTGATTACATCACCCTGTTAGAGATTGGCTGGGGTTTAGCATAATAGCTATCAGCTTAGTAAGCTGGAGGGGACTCAGTTCTCATAGACTAAGGCACGGCATGCTGTTCAATAGCCTGTAAATATCTCTGTATATATTCACCTTTATAACTATATAAACTCTCTGTGCACCTTCATAACTGGTCAGTTGCCCACTTCTTATTTACAACACCCAATAAGCCTAAACTAGGTTTGTGACTGATTGTGTTCAAGGGGGCAAAGATAAAAAGTGAAGGGAATAGGCAGTAATGAAAATAGCAGAGTGGAGAAAAGCAGGCACCAAAAGGCGTGTTCTTCTACAACCCAGGTGCACTGCAGAATTACAAGAATGAAAGAGCCAGAAGATCTAATCAAGCCAATTTAGTGCTTTGATCAAGCTGATTACCATCTGCATTGTCCCTTTGCATCCTTTACACGCCTTCTTTACAACACCTCTCCCGTCTTCTGACTAGGATCAAAGCACTCAGAGATATACATTTCTCATGTCCAACGAAAGCATCTTTGACTCTCCAAAGCTCGTGCCTTGAAACCCTTGTTGGTCTCTAAGGTGCTACTAGATTTGAATCTGTTCTATTGCAGACCAACACAGCTGTCCTCCGAAGAAACAGAGCTAACAGAGTACCTAACGGAGGGAGGCTTGACTCTCAAAAGCTTCTATCCCTGAAACCTTTGTTGGTCTCTTAAGGTGCTAGTGGACTCCAACCAAGAAGAGAATCATGACAACTTACCTCTTGTTGGTGCAAATGTTCAAAAATTCTCCTTGAAATTCTTCTTCTCGTTGACCTTAGCAAGCTGTTGTGGTCAGTGAATGAATGTAGTGAATAAATTCAGCATCCAGAATGGTTTAGCTCCATCAAAACCTGTGGGGAAGCAAGTAAACTTCATGGCATGGCAGGTGATTGCAGCGGGTGCAATATTAAGGTGGTACATATGACCTCCAGAGGTTATGAATTTATAAGCTGTCACCGGCCTATTCGTGAACAGAAGAACAGAAGAGGAGCTCTAGTGGATCAGACCTGTGGTCAATCTAATACAGCACAGGGTCTCACACAGAAGACAAACAGATGGATTCAGGTGGGTCACTGTGCTAGTCTGAAGCAGCGGAACAAAGTTTGAGTCCACTGGCTTCTTGAAGACCAACAACATTTAATTCTGGTATAAGCTGTCATGTGCATGTGATAACAACGTAAGAACATAAGAGATGCCAATGTTAGATCAGGCCAATGGCCCATCTAGTCCAACACTCTGTGTCACACAGTGGCTAAAAATACCAGGTGCCATGAGGAGGTCCAGCAGTGTGGCCAGGACACTAGAAGCCCTCCCACTGTTGCCCCCCCAAGCACCAAGAATACAGAGCATCCCTTGCCCCAAACCGAGAGTTCCTATCTGTATCTTGTGGCTTATAGCCACTGATGGACTTCTGCTCCATATGCTTATCTAATTCCCTCTTGAAGCCGTCCATGCTTGTAGCTGCCACCACCTCCTGTGGCAGTAAATTCCATGGGTTCTGAAGAATCCCATGTGATCTTAAGAATTCTATGTGATCTGAACCTCCTGTGGCAGTGAATCCCATGTGTTCTGAAGAATCCCATGTGATCTGAAGAATTCTATGTGATCTGAAGAATTGTGTATGCACACAAAAGCTGATACCCAGAATTAAACTTTTTTGATCTTAAAAGGTGCCCCTGGACTCAAACTTTGTTCAGAAGCCAAACAGTTCCCCTGAAGGGCCGATGAACAGTACGGAGAGGCTGAGACCTTCCTCTGATGCTGCCAGCCAGCCCTGGTCTTCAGAGGTTTGCTGCCTCGGTATATGGATGCTCCCTTCAGTAGCCTCTGATGGATCTCTCCTCCCTGAATCTGTCCAACCTCCTTCCAAAGCCGTCTGTACTGGTTGCCATCGCTACATCCACCTGCAGTGGATCC